CTGCTCATTCACCTCCAGCAAAGTCTTTCCAGGGAGGATTTACAGTCACCGACCTTATCTGGCTTGGAGAGCTGCCAGGCTGATCTCTGCAAAACTTGGAAAGGAGTCTCGGAGAGACACGAACCAATGAAGCGAACTAATTGTCTCCTGCAAACTCCATTCCTCTGTTGCTCCTCTTTTATTTCCTCTGGGAGGGGCCATTCATTGTCCACCTGTGGCCTTACTCCCAAATCGACCCCTGTTCTTTAACTGTTCCCTTTGTCTGGCAACTCTGCGCTTGCGCACACTGGAAACAGCCTCCAGATGTTCATCTGCCTCACTGATGTCTGGCTCTGAAGGCAGCTGATAACTGGCATAAGACCCTGGCCCCATCTCTCCCTCCAACACAGAGCCCATGTCAGAGCCTTCCCCAGACTCCAGAACTGGCCCATGTTCCTTCCCAACTGCCTCACTGTCTGAATCTGCTGCCAGCTACACTGGCAGGCCACAACAGGGAGAAGCATATCCCAAGATGGTTTGAATTTGAAACATAAAGCAGTTTCATTTTAATATTACATACATTCTAACATTTTATATTTATAGTCCCTGAATAGGAACCCACAGGGTCATAAAAAGGGAGCTTAGCTCTACGATACCTGTTTTTAGTGATACATCAGGGCATCTGAATGAATTGAGGCAGAAAATCTGGATTTCCACTCCCTCTTTCTGAGCTATATATACAAAATTTTGCTTTTTTCCCAAGTGGTTTTCTGCCAGTTGGGTTGGTCTCATTACAGTATCAAGGTACTCAAGCACCACCTGCTGGCTACCAGGTGCATTGACGGAGTCACATCTATAGACCAGATGGATATTTTGGCCGAAATATCCAAAATTAAAATCCGTAATGCAGAGTTATATAGGCAAAAGCACAAGCAACCTTCCAGAATTTGCTTGGCTATCATTCCTAGCAACGATAAGCCACATGTCCCTTGTTAGAGGTGATGGGAACAATCCTTCACCAACCAGCAAAGATTCCCAGTGTTTGATTAATTGTGTGAGTTTCAATTGAGCCATTCATAATACCGGCAAAATACTTTGGGTAATGTAGGAAGTTAGCACCCACCCAAAAATGAAAATACGGAAAAATGAAATATTTTAGGAAATACCGTGTTTCCCTGAAAATGAAGACAGAGTCTTATTTTACAATACAATACAATAGCAGAGTTGGAAGGGACCTTGGAGGTCTTCTAGTCCAACCTCCTGCCTAGGCAGGAAAATGGCTATCCAACATCTTCTTAAAGACTTCCAGTGTTGGGGCATTCACAACTTCTGGAGGCAAGCTGTTCCACTGATTAATTGTTCTAACTGTCAGGAAATTTCTCCTCAGTTCTAAGTTGCTTCTCTCCTTATTTCTTTTTGACACCCCCCCCCCCCGAAATAAGCACTTAGCCTTATTTTCAGGGAAGTCTTATTATTTTTGAGGTGCAGGAGATGGGGAGCATCGTCATCTCATGGCTGCTGCTATGTTGCAATATTTTCAGGGAGGGCTTTTGGGGGGGGGGGGAACTGCTTCTTTTAATGCATGCATTCAAAAGCCCATTTGGGCTTATTATCCAGGGAATTCTTAATTTTGGGATATTAAAAGGGCAGAATATTCCCCACCCAAAGGGAAGCAGAAATTCACACACCCCCAACCTTTGTTAATGGGCCATTTAAGGCCTGAGCCAGTCTATTCTACATAACAAAGATCTTCAGCTGCAGGATGATGGGATTAAGACACGGCCCTCAGGACATGATAGGATTAGCCCTCTACCCATCTCACCATGTGCCACCTGGGAACACTGCATCACCCAGCAAGGCTCAACCAAGCCTGGGACTCAGGACAGCCTACAAAGTTAGTTAAGTCCCCCGCCCCCTGGGAGTCTGACCACCAATCAGAATACATTTCTTCGAACAGGAAGCTCTAAGGTGGGGCCCAGAGAGGGTATAAAACCAGGGCACTCTCAGCATCAATTCCCTTTTTCCCCCAGCATCTCAAGCCAGGTGATCCTGTCCACCATTAAAGCCATCTTTCCAAGCAGCCTGTGTTTCCAGTGTCTTTTCCCCCCACTTGGAACTGAACCCAGATGGACATTTCTTCCAACAATTTAGAACCATCGTTCAGAATAATGCACTTGTTTTTCAGACTTGGAAGTTTGGAAAGGACATTTTGTTTTAGGAGAGGCGCTCCATTTCCCTTTTCCTTCCACCCATTAAGTAGCATTTTATTTTTAAAAGATATGGGGAAACAAAGTTTGTTTCGGGACAAAAAAAATATGTTTGCCTTTGGAATCTCTTTTCAAAGGATCATGGTAAAAATGCCATGTGTGTTTTGGCGTGTGGCAGCATTTATGAAAAGTTTGGTTGGAAGATGGCCGTTTGCTTTGCAGGAAAGGAGAATATCTTTGCATTCAATTATTGTTCTTTTTAAACATGTCCTTTTATTGAACGTTGAGTCACCTTGATCTTTAATTTTAAAAATATTTTTTTTAAAAGAAATGGGGGTGGTTTTTTCTCTCTCTAAACCATCCAAGAGCAGTGATACAGAAAAGGTGGCCTTAGATCCCATTTGTTTGCTGCACTTAAAAGTTCTGGCATGTGAAAAGTCTGTAATTCTGCAAAGTTGCTCCTTGAGGGCCAGCCTGATGGGAATTTTCCAAGAGGAAGAGAGAGCTTCGGCATCTCCAAGTAGATTCTATTCTCTTCCGATACCACATTTTTCATCAGCTGAATAGGTTTTTTCATGGGGTAGAGAAACTAATGAGATCCTCATTCATCCAGATCATTATCATCATCATTATTTTTTTTAAAAACCATAATCCCTTACCGGATGGAGTTTGGGCAACTGAAAGAAGCTAGCAGTGTGTTTAACGGCCAGATGCCCTTCCCTGTTGCCAATGCGGAGTTTTGTTCAGGAGATATATTCTCAGAGTGCCCAGAGAGAAATATCTGCCTCTACCTAGGATCGAACTCACAGCCTCCTGATTGTGAGGCGAGAGCTCCGCCTCTAGGCCACTGCTCATTCATCCAGGTCATGGTTGTCCCAAAGGTGCTTTTTTCCAAAAGACAACTGGACTTTGGTTTAAAAAAAAAAAACATTTTGCTTCTCATGAACTGAAGAAGCTTCTTGGATGAGAAGCAAAATGTTTTTAAAAAGAAAAGTCCAGTTATCTTTTTGGAAAAAAGCACCTTTGGGTAGAGAAACTAGCACCAATAAAGGAGAATATTTGTAGCTCAGGGTTGAAGGGGTCCTTAGTGCTTTCTGAGTTGGTTGTTTTCCTGCAGACATTTCATTACCAAACTAAGTCATAGCATCAGTGCTACTCAGCATTAACACTGAAGATGTTACCTAGTTTGGTAATGAAATGTCTGCAAGAAAACAACCAAGCTCAGAGATCACCCAGGGCCTCTCAGAGAAATGGTGTAGGGCCGTGATGGTGAACCTATGGAGAAGCGGCATGCAGCTTCCTCTCCATAGGTACATGAGCAGTTCACCTTCGCTGCGGATGCGTGCATGCCTCCCACCAGCCAGCTGGTCTTTGGGACTCTGCCACGCATGAGCGGAGGGCAGGGCACATGCCATCACTTATGTAGGGTCTCCTGCTTGGACAGGGGGTTTGACTAGATGACCTACAAGGTCCCTTCCAACTCCAACTCCGTTAGTAAAATTAGTGTGCCTACAAGTGAGTCTCAAGGTGTATCCGGCACAGAAGGCTTTGTAAGCAGCGCTGAAGCCTTCTCAGTAGATGCCAGCCGCCCTGTTCTTCTACGCAGTGCTGCACGCAGGGAGAGAGGATGCATTAGGAATAACCCTCCCAGGGCCAGAGTGGTGAGAAATCCAGACTGCAGAATTATCCTCGAGAGACAAATCTCTTCTTTACTCTCTCTGCTACAGTTCAAATGCACAGCCCTGCATCGAGCCTGTTTGCGGGGACACAAAGAGATCGTGGACAAGTTGCTGGAAGCAGGGGCCAAAGTCGAGCCAAGAGACATGGTGAGTCTCAATTGACGGCTTACAATCCCAAGTGTTTCTGAGCAGGGGTGAGTTCCAGCTTTAGTGTTACTGCCGGTTCGTTTAGGGGCTGGCTGCGGGCACACTCGATGTGCGCTAGTAGTAAAAAAATGTGTTTCTGCGCATGCACAGAAGCAAAAAAACCCCAAACCAATATGGTGATAGAACTGATAGAACTGTTTTGGGAACTGGTTCCTGTCCGGGAACTGGCAGGCAGCTTCTCCAAATTGGCTTTCTAAACTTCCCGCGAGGTGCATTGGAAGGTCTTCTCCATTCACCCCCCCCCCCCCCCAAGAGTGGGAATCTGACTTGTTTGGAAGGTTGGAGAAGGCCCAAGAAGGATCTTAGGGAGCATCTTCTGCTTTGTTTGGTGCAGCTGGAGGCAACCCCCTTGTTCTGGGCCTGCCGCGGGGGACATCTGGAAATCCTCAAGGCGCTGATCAGCCGTGGAGCCAAGATTTCTACCCGGGACAAGGTAAGGGGTGGAAAGAAGGGGGATCCCCTTTCCTGTATCTAAACGAGCCACATCCCGAGGATTCTTGGTGGACCTTTTCCTTCTGGTTGCAGCTATGGAGCACACCCCTGCATGTGGCGGTCCGTACCGGCCACTCTGACTGCGCTGAGCATCTCATTGCCTGTGGAGCGAAAATCAACGCCCAGGATAAGGTGCAGGAAGCTGGGTGGGGGGGAATGCTTGATGCGAAGGCAGGGGCAGCTGTGGGCTTCACATTTTATTACCCCTGGTTCGCCCTGTGTGTGCACCCGTTTGTGGGCATTTGCGTCCCTTCCACAATGTGGCTGGCTTTCTGTGCATGCGCTTTGCTCACACGGGCACCTTCCGTGCATGTCACCTGCTTCAAAAATATGCCTAAATAGGACAGCATAGAGCAGGGAGGTTGGGCGGCCCCACCTGCGATTTCCACTACCAGTTTGGGCAAACCAGTCTGAACCTCTGGGCAGTGGGTACCTTATCGTGGCCATCTCCATCTCAACCTTAACTCTAGTGCCATTCTCCCAATTATCTTTTTTTGTGGGAGAAAGATTGATAATAAGGAAGCGATTTGCTTCAGCCTGAACCTTGGGTGATCAGGACTCTCAATGCTCAAGGGAATGTCGTACGATGGCCAAGTTCACACATGCTGAGACAAGGACTGGATGCTGACATCTTGCTGAATCGCTAACATCCCACACCGTTTGTCAAGTGTGAAATATGAATGGAGGGAAGGAGGGAGAGGAGGAAGGACAACAGCAATAGCATATATATATTGCTTCATAGTATTTCACATCCCTCTCTAAGCAATTTACAGAGTCAACCTCTTGCCCTTAACATGGATGGATGGAAGAATGGACGGAAGGCGGGAGAAGAAGCAGGGAAGAAAGGATGGGAGGAAGGCAATAGCAGACATATACCTCTTCACAGTGCTTTACAGCCCTCTCTAAGCGGTTAGGGAGGAAGGGAGAAGAGGCAGAGAAAGAAGGAAGGATGGGAGGAAGGCAGGCAGGGAGAGAGGGAGGAAGAGGAGAGGATGGGAGGCAGGCAGGCAGGCAGGATGGGAGGAAGGGTGTTCTGAGTTCTTGATCTTAGTTGAACTTTACATCTGTCTTCAGACACAGTAATGGATGGATGGAAGGAAGGAAGGAGGGAGGTAAGGGAGAGGGAAGGTGGAAAGAAGGAATAGCAATAGCACTTAAGATTTATATAGTGCTTCACAGCCCTCTCTAAGTGGTTTACAGTCGGCCTCTTGCCCCCAACAATCTGGGTTGTCATTTTACCCACCTCGGAAGGACCGACGGCTGGCTGAGTCAACCTTGAGCCTGGTGAGATTGAACTGCCAAATTGCAGGCAGCCAACAGGCAGCAGAAGTAGCCTGCAGTACTGCACCCTAACCACTGAGGCTCATATAAACCTGACTCCCAAGTTATTAAAATGCAACTACTTCATTTACCAAACATGCAAAGCTCAAGAAGGAAACTTTTTCTGGGCTAATGCGATGGGTCTGGAGAATATTCAGAGTCCATTTGGCTTCATTATTGTTTGTCTCTTTGCAAAGCACGAATCCAGTGCATGCAAATTATGTCCATTATGCAATGGATGAACCAGGTCATGTAATACATATTCTTCTCTTTCCTTACCAACGATGCCATTCTTAAGGGCTGGGCAGGGTCTCTGTTGGCTGAGGTCAGCCCTGGGCTTTTCCAGTAGCCCCCTTCCCATTTTTGAAGGAACAAGATGGAGGGGATTTTGTGTACTTTTTAAATTGGCTGTATCTACAAAATAAGTTTCACTCGGTCGCTAAATTCAGCTTGTTCGTACCGGTTTGCCTGAAACGGTAGTGGAAATCGCGGGTGAGTCTGCCCACCCGGCTCTATGCTGTCCTATTTAGGCACGCTTTTGAGGCTGGGTGCATTCACGGAAGGGGTGTGTGTGAGCAAAGCGCATGCACAAAAGGCCAGGTGTATGCACGGAAGGGGCGTGTGCACCCGCGGAGTGGCAAACCAGTGGTAACAAAATGTGAAGCCCACCGTTGCTAAGGACGCAACAGGATAAAAGTATCCAACCTTGGCAACTTTTAAGAGTTGTGGACTTCAACACCCAGAATTCCCCTGGGGAATTCTGGGAGTTGAAGTCCGTAAGTCTTAAAAGTTGCCAAGGTTGGACACCCCAGCAATAAGACGCATTTGGACTACACATCAAACTTGGTTGAGACTTGGTTTTTAGCAGCTTAACCTGAAACGCAAACCCAAACTCAAGTCTGTTTGGTTAGTCCAAACCACCGTGCGAGGCCAGAAATATATAAAATTTAATTCGTAACCAAGTTAAAGTGTGTTGTGTGAACGCAGACTCTCTCTCTTTCTCTGGCCAGGAAGGAGATACACCCATTCACGATGCGGTCAGACTAGGACGATTCCAGGCGGTAAAGACCTTGTTGATGTACGGGGCAAATCTTAACATCCAGAATGAGGTGAGCACAGAAAAAAACCTGGCTGGGCAATTCAGGAAGCTGGAGGTCCAGGGGTCTTAAAATGGCCAAAGGTTGGACACCCCTAATTTAACCCCTTAACTGTTCCTCTTATCCCAGGACAGCATGTAGGATAGTTCCCCACCCAAGGAGTATTTTGCAGTGGCTGGAAAGGTGATGGATAGCTGAAGAAGTCAGGATAAAATGCACCTCCATTACATAGGTTTCTTTTGATGGAAAGTTACCACACCAGAGTAAAAAAGCAAATGATCTTGTAGTTTTGGGGAGAAACAGCAGGCATGGGATGGGGTGGAAGGTAGACTTTACTAGTGGGGACAAAGTTGAAATGCATAGTAGGTGAACATTTTCTGCAGGAGCCCTTCAGTTTAGTGGGAATATTGGTTAGGTTCAGGGGTGAGATTGAAAAATTTTAGCAACCTGTTCTCTCCCTGGTTGCTGGGTAGGCGTGGCCTACTCAGCCTCCTCAAGGGGAGGGGGGCAGTTTTTGCCCTCCCGAGGGTCCAGAGGTTTTCCCTGAGACTCTGGGAGGGCAAAAATGGCCTCCCCTGGGCCCATTTCTGGACTTCCAGTAAGCCCACTTTTCACTCTCCCAGAGCCTCCGCAACTTACCTGGCATGATGAACGGGCTGCCTGGACACTCCTGGAAGGGGAGGGGCGGGTGGGGCCAGCCGTCCTTGCAACAACCAGTTCGGGGAACCGGCTGAATCTCCCCTTTGGTTAAGTTCCTTTACAGCAGTTACAGATTTATGTTCTCTGCGTATAGTAAAAAAAGATCCTACTTCGATGATCAGTGAGTAGAGGCAGCAAAGAGTCGGGAGTGGTCATGTAGCCCGAGTACAGGTTAGCCCTTCCTCATGAGGACTAGCATGCTGCTGAATAAGAGAAAGCAAGTTCCCAAAAGTGCTTTTTCAAAAGGCGACAGAAACAATGTCCAGAATCAGAATGGAGCTAGAAGGGACCTTGGAGGTCTTCTAGTCCAGCTCCCTGCTCAAGTAGATCCTATTCTAGTGATGGAGAACCTTTTTCGAATTGGGTGTCTATTGCGTGTGTTTGCCTGCCCACCCCCATAATGCCCCCTGGCACCGTGCCCCCTGCACATGTGCGTATGACCCCCGATGCCCTGCGCATGTGTGGACAGCTTTCTTGGAGCTCCGGAGGGCGAAAATGGCCTCACCTGCCCAGGAGCCCCTCTGGTAGGTCTGTTTTTCACCCTCCTCAGGCTCCAAAGGCTTTCTAGGAGCCTGGAGAGGGCAAAAAACAGCCCAATGCGCAAACCAAGGTTCGGGAATGGACTTCCGGGTTGCCCTTTGGGCTGTTTTTCTCTCTCAGGAGGGTTCCCTGAAGCCTCCGGAGGGCAAAAAACAGCAGAAAATCAGCTGGCCAGCATGCGCATGACAGGGCAACACCTCACATGCCCTCAGAAATGGTTCCATGTGCCACCTATGGAATGCGGGCCATAGGTTCGCCATCATGGGAATAGAATAAGAGTTGCAAGGGGCCTTGGAGGTCTTCTAGTCCAACCCCCTGCTTAGGCAGGAAACCCTACACCACTTCAGGCAAATGGTTATCCAACATCTTCTTAAAAACTTCCAGTGTTGGAGCATTTATGACTTCTGGAAGCAAGCTGTTCTGCTGATTTTTTAATTATCTGTTTAAACAACTAATTGTTTAATTATGAGCCACTTCTCTTGTCTTCGCAGGAGGCAGTCACTCCCGTAGACCTGGTGAAGGACTGGCAGACGGGGATCCGGGAGACGCTTCAAATGTGCGCCAACCGGCAGCAAGGCCTAACCAGGAGCTGCTGAATGTGTGTGGTGGTGGTGGTGGGGGCTACCTTGAATAATCGGGTGTTGACTCTATAAGCTGGCAGCCCCCCTTTTTTTCCACTCCACTACCCTGCGACCAACTCACCATCCTTGTCCCTCTTTTGCACCAAACTCTGCATGTCTGCCTTTCCTCTTCAGCAACAGAAATTGTGGGGAGGGGTTTCTTGCATCCCCAGCTGATACGGGGGGAGCCAGATGGGCTCTAAGGACCTCCTGCAGCTTTTTCTCTCTCAAGAGACTTTTTGTGAGCAAAGCTGGTCAGGGGACGGGCCTTTGCATGCCTGCATTCCTCCAGACTACCCACAGAGGGCAGCCTGGTGGGGCTTTGAGCAAGGCGAGTCTCCAAGCAGCTCTGCCTTCCAGCCTCCAAACTCCAGGGGGCTTAAGCATCCCAGGAGCCTGGGGGCTGCAAGGAGAAAGGCCAGAGATGAGGATATGTGAGGCTCCCCTGGCCAACTCCAGATGGCCAAAACGGGCTGGATCCAAGGAGCTAGCAGTGAGGGATGTCAGTTTTAAGGGAACTAGCCAATGGCAGAGAGCCAGGTGCTGCAGCTGGCTCTCTGCTCCAAGGGTCAGTCCCACTGGCCCAACTGCTCCCTGGATCTGTGGAGGAGCAAGCCCGACTTTTAGGGGAAGCTGAGGTCGAGCTGTCGCTTAGGCAGAGGAAGATATTTCTCTCTCTGGGCACACTTGAAAATATATATGCTGAACAAAACTCCGCATTGGTGACAAGAAAGGCATCTGGCCATTCAAACACTCTGCTAGCTCCATTCACTTGCACGAGGGATTAGGGGGTCGTTCAATGAAGATGATCTGTCCTCACTTCAAACCACAGTGGTGTTCTCTTGGCAGGCAGCTCTCCTGGAAGGGGCATCTTGTCACAGCCCTCCCTGATGCTGAGGTTGAGGGCTGGGCGATGTTCTTCCAGAGGTGGAGAGGCCCTCCGGCCACTAGAGGGAGGCCAAGTTGAAATCCTCTTGAGCTTGTTACCCCAAATGATGAAACTCTTCTTGAATGAGTCAAATATCCCCTGGTGAAGATAACGAGAGGATCCACCTTCCTTTTTGGTCCCTCTCTTCAGTTGGTGAAGCCACCAGCAGCTGGAATGAGCCAACCTGCCACGGCCAACTCGCCATAGGACAACTCGCTTGGGGACAATTCAATTTATTGAAGATAGCTTTCAGAAATCATTTTAATTTTTGCCATTCATATTTCATTTTGTCCTTCCTTTGGCATCCTTTCTTTTAATGATCCTATTCCACTATTTCAGGGCTCTCAAACTCAAGGCCCAGGGGCCAGATCCGACCCACGGATGTGGTTAGATCTGACCCGTGAGGCTTTCCTGGAAATAGTGAAGGACTGGCCCCTAGTGCCTGCGCTCCAGCCTAGGTCAGCCGGGTACTGATCTAAAACTTGGTGCCAACCCATCTGGGCTGGAATGCAGTCAGCCTTAAATCCGTGGGGCCAAACTGACGTCAGTGAGCGGCTGCCACTGTCCCCTGGGGACACATTGGAGACAATGGATCCCCTCAGCCCCACAGGCATCCCCGACACAACATCAAGCTGGCCACAACCACCCTGTTGGCTGCAAACACCCGGCCATGATCACCCCATCCATGCCCCCCACCCCACGGTCAACCACAACCTTGATGCAGCCCTCAATGAAATAGTGTTTGACACTCCTGCATTATTTCTTCCATATTAGTGTAACTCTTGTCCTGCGTAGACTTGGCCATGACAATTTGCCCGTGTTGAATTGTCATAGACTCACGAGCAGCTGCTTGTCATCATTTCCAGCCACTGCTGATCCCTGGTTGTCCTCGCCCTCGCTCCTTGATACATTAGACAAGAGAAGGAGGTCTACCTTGGTGCTGCTGGCCAGGCTGAGTCCTCCTCCACCAGCACTTGGTCCTCCTAACAGCACAATTCCTCCGATAGACAAAGGGGCCAAGTATGGCCGACAGTGGGTTCCGGCAGGCACTACTGCAGGTTCGCTCGTGTCCATGCTTTGCACGCACGTGCTTGATGCATGTTGAACGTGCATGCGCAGTGCAATTAAAATTGTTCCACACATGCACAGAAATGAAAAACAAGATGGCGCTGCTGCCTGCGCCACTCAGGGAACCGGTTTGGGGGCATGGCAAGCTTGGGTCGCTGCCAGTTCCAGTCCCACTACCGGTTTGTCTGAACCGGTCCAAACCGGTAGGAACCCACCACTGTCCATGACGGACTATTCCAGAGGGGGGGGGGACACACACATGCCAATCAGGCATCCCCTCCCTCTAATTGTAACTCCTTTGCTTGGGGGAACTGGGTTCTCCCTACTGGCCTCTACCTATTCATGACTTCAAGGTCTGCCTTCAACAAACGTGTGCCCCAGAGCCAACCTTGCTCTCTCTCTCTCTCTCTCAAACTGGAACGGGATTTGTACAGTACTGGCTCTGGTGACTATTTATTTATTCCCGCCCTCCCCTTCTCCCTTTTCCAGAGGAAGGGCGGCTAAGACGATTACTTGAATTTTTTTCTTTGTAAACCGACGGCAACTTCACCTCCTTGCATTGATTTGTGACACCCCCCCAAAGCTGTCGCAAACGATACTGTAGTCCTTTTTTTGTCGAAGTTGTGAGGTGCGGAATTATGGCCCCTTGGTGACCGGTGCACCGTAACTCCCAGGATTCCTGAGACAGGAATTCTGGGAGTTGAAGTCCACAGGTCATAAAAGGGGTCGTAGTCTCCCCATCCCTGGTCTAAGTCAGGGGATCTCCAACCTTGGCAAGGTTAAGACTTGTGGACTTTGTCAACTTGCGAAATTGGATTGTTTTTGAAACTTTTGTTTGAGGCTCCTGCTTTTTATTAGGGTATTGGTCGTAACCCTGACAGACTTCAATTCCCAGAATTCTGGGAATTGAAGTCCATAAGTCTTAAAAGTTGCCAAGGTTGGAGACCTCTGGTCTAAGTCTTATCAGGCCACTGTGCACAGGCAATTCGCCAGTCTGGCGTTAAGACTGGCTTGAGGTTGCTTAGCCATGGGCCCAGGTCTTCGGTATCATCTCAGGACTGGCCCCTCCATCCATGCCCACAGCAACACTCCCGGCGGGCGCGTGGGCAAGACTGGGGGGGCATGCGGGGGTTCCAGAAAGGCACTCCGCTTAGGAACCTGATTGTACAGTGCTAAGACTTTCTTCCCTCAAAACGTTGTGAGGGGCAGTACTGATGTGATGTGATTTTTCTTTTGTAAATAATAAAGAGTTATTTTTGTGTCCTGAAAGATGGGGAGTTGAGAGCAATTGTGGCTGTGAACAAAAGGTTGGCCTTGAAACCACTTGTCATTTTTAGGCTGGAATGTGAATTTGTTTTGAAAGGAAACTCTTTTTATTTACATCCACTGAAGAGGCATCTAAGGCTTCAATTTTCGTGGGGAAAAAAAAATCCCCAAAGTCACCACCCTGAGTGTAAATTGCAAAGGTCCTCCAGTGCAAAGTTCCTGCCGACTAAATGCTAGTGCAGGGGTCTTCAACCTTAAACACTCAAAGGGCTATTTGGACCCATTTCCCACAGAAAACACCACGACCCACAAAACCTTGGTGGGCATGGCCAACTCGACATCCCTCACTCCCATGCAGTCACATGACCCCCACCACCACCCCATCATGCCTACCCAGGTTTGGTGGCTCCCGGTGTTTTCTTTTCTGTGGGAAATGTGGTGGGATCACCAGACAAGGAGCCATAGCAGAGGGATGAAAGAGCCACATGTGGCTCCAGAGCCACGGGTTGCTGACACCCGCACTAGTGTTTCAATGAGGGAGATTCCAGCCCAGCCCAGCCTGGTCTTTGCTGTGCTACCTTTCTACCTGGGGGTCGCTGCTATTTCTCCTCAAGAACTCTGTGGCCAGTATTTACCATGTTCATCTTCTTGAAATCGCCTCAGATACATTTCCTAGAAGTATGACAGCCAGTAGAATTAGGAGGGAGATGCTACCGGTTTTCCCCAAAATACCGTTTCCCCAAAAATAAGACCTCCCCGGATAATAAGCCCAACTAGGCTTTTGAGTGCATGCGCTAAAATAAGCCCTCCCCTGAAAATAAGCCCTCCCCGAAAATATATACAACACAGCAGCAGCCATGAGGTGACCACGCTCGCTGCCTCCTGCACTTCAAAAATAATAACACCTCTCCAGAGAAAAGGCCAAGTGCTTATTTCGGGGGTCAAAAGAAAACAAGATCCTACTTATTTTCAGGGAAATCTGTTATGACCTACCCCGGAAAGACACCCTATCATGTTTTTGAATGGAGGTATTAAAATTAAGCCCTATCTCTAAAATTAGCCCTAATTAAGTCCCTGCTCACCCTGGGATTCAGGGGGTGGGGGCGAGGCACACAGGTAAAAAAATTAAACTAGGGTGGGGACCCCGGCACCTGCCTCGCCTTGCAGGCCCACTTCTGTGGTCGCTTGCTGCTGCTCACACATGTAGCCCCCAGCATCCATTTCGCCATCAAAGCCTTCCGGAAAGCTCTCTGCAGCTGAGAAACGGGCTCTGGATTGATGTGCGCAGCATCCCCTGGCTTTCGTTTCGCCTTCAGAGGCTATTATTGTAAGCCGCCCTGAGTCCCCTCAGGGAAAAGGGCGGCCTATAAATGCTTAATAAAATGAAAATGAAATGAAATGCTTCCAGAAAGCACTAAAAGCGGCCGCGGAAGTGGGCTGCCAGCGTGTTCCTGCTGGGCAGGACTGTCAACATGAGGTGAGTCAATAATTAGACCCAACCAAAAAAAAGCCCTAGCCATTTTTTTCAGGGCTTAAAAGAAAATAAGACCCAGTCATATTTTCAGAGGAACGCAGTAGTTCTAATGCTGCCAAGGAAAAGGAAGAATTGACTTCTCTAGGTAAAGGTAAAGGCTCCCCTCACACATATATGCTAGTCATTCCTGACTCTAGGGGGCGGTGCTCATCTCCGTTTCAAAGCCGACGAGCCAGCGCTATCTGAAGAAGTCTCTGTGATCATGTGGCTGGCACGACTAAATGCCGAAGGTGCATGGAACGCTGTTACCTTCCCACCAAAGGTGGTTCCTATTTTTTATTTGCATTTTTACGTGCTTTCGAACTGTTAGGTTGGCAGAAGCTGGGACAAGTAACGGGAGCTCACTCCGTTACGCGGCACTAGGGATTCGAACCATCGAACTGCCGACCTTTCTGATCGACAAGCTCAGCGTCTTAGCCAATGAGCCACCCTTATATAGATGTGTAAGGAGAGACAATTCTCTGGGAAGGTACAGCTGGTGGGCAAGTTACAAACAATTTACCAAAACCAGACATACAACTAGATTCAGACACGTTCTGCTGTTGGCTGTGAGAAGGGAGAGGCTGAACGAGGGAGAGAAAGGGAACGGGATTTGCTTCTCCCAGAATCCCTCTGATTCTTTATTGACTTTAAAAAATAAGATTTAGGGATGGGCATGTCCCAAAGGGGAAATACTGTGGAGTAGAGCAACGAGAGGGGAGAGGGGGAAGTGTCTCTCTGCCAAAACCTCAGCGGAGGGTTTCGCTCGCCCAAGGGAAACGTGGGATCGCCAGTGAGAGCTTAGAAGTGCAAATCCAAAACCGAAGATAATTCAGGGGTAAGCCAGGGACCCGGGGCCCTTCCCAAGAGTGCAAAAGGGGCAGCCCCAGAGAAAATGGGGAGGATTCAGCCCTGCCATTCGACTTTTCCAGGACGGCCGCCATGGAAGGGAGAACAGGTTGGAGAGGGGGGGGCAAGTATCCGCCTGCCCCTCCTCTGTAGCAGGAGTCCCTTGGCAAAAATCCCGTCGGTTCCAGAACAGCTGATCCAGGGCAAACAGGAAACTGGCAAGCCCAATGCCAGGAGGCAGAAGAGAGGCGCAGGATTCCCAGAGCTGGTCTTTGGCACAGTTTGGGCAGTGGGGTAGGCAAAGGACCGGGACTAGTCTGGGGGGGCGTGCTGGGCCTGGTGCAGGCACTCAGGTGAGCTTGGGGACTCCCAAGAGTCATGGCTTGCAACCCGGGTCTGCAAGGCAGGACATCGGGACCCTGGCAAGATGGCAGGCCCATGGGGTCGGTTCCAGAGCCGAGACCAGGGCCTGTAGCCAAGCAGGCAAGGACAGGTGGCAGAAACGAACATTGAGGCTGTTATCGCAAAATCTGGCAGAGTCCGGCAAGTGCTTTTAAAGAGAAGTGAGCATCTGGAGCCCTTAAGGGATTAGCATGGCAGGAAGGTAGAAACACACAGAGAGAGAGAGCCCTGTTGACACGGAGGAGGCAATGAGGAGGAAGGGCCTGGCAGCCACCTTCCCGTTTGCACCACAAACGTCAAAAGAGTCGAGTCTGTATTTGCTGGCCGCCGCTCTCCTCCACCAACACATTTCGCTCAGGTCCACCAACTCTCCGCAGTCAAGCTCTGCTTACAAATGTCTTAGGCATAATAGTAGCCCAGTTGGGGCGCTGGAAGCCGCTGGCGTTGAGTCCAGCCGGGCCTCTCTCTCCCCCCGAGAAGGCCAGGCCCCTACCGTCTTTTGGAAACGCAGGTGCCCAACGAGAAGTCCATCCAGGCGGAAGCCAGGAGAAGTGCTGAAGGTTTTGAGGGAGGGGTCCTCCTGGGCCGGCCCCACCTGCAGCCCTAATGCCACCTGTTTGAAGTCAAACCCCCGTGCTGTGGCTGGACTCTTCCTGGAGGTTGAACTTGCTTCGGTTTTTCCCTGGAAGGCGAAGACAAGGAGCAGCCATGAAATGTAATGGGACAACCCTGGCAGCGGGAGTGTGTTGTGGCCTGCCAGTGGCCAGCAGAGCTGGGCGCAGACTCGGACAGTGAGGAGGCTGGGGAGGAAGATGAGCCAGTCCTGGAGTCTGGGAAAGGCTCTGATGAGGGCTCTGTATGGGAGGCAGAGAGGGGGCCAGGGAGGAGGACGGCTTCGCGTGGCTGGGGAAGCCTAGGTCAGAACGAGATTTTTGAAGTAGTTGGGAACAAAGTTTTCTTCCGTCTTCAATGTTTTGTTTTTAAAAAAAATAAAATTAAACCAATTTCAATATGCTGTTTTACTGCCTTTTTAAACTGGTGCAAGATTGCTAAACGTCCTTTGACAAACTGGTGGTCAAATTTCAGCTGCACAGTCTTGGAAGGCTTTGGATATGAAATTAATATTTTAAGTCAGGGTGGCAAAACAGGATGATAATCTAAAGGGAGGGGAAAAGCTAACTAGACGTTTGCAAGCTGCAAAACCTTGGCTGAAATCTCAACTGCACCCACTTTCTTAAGATAGGAGACATTTTTTTTAAAAAAAAT